TTGAGCTCCACGATTACAGGAGTCTTGGACTGAATTAGCAGCTTCGGTCTCCTCGTACCGGATGTAGTGGCAGAATTTCTCGAGGAAGCCTTGTAGGGTGGTCGGCCGGTGGATTGCCATGGCCTCATAGAATTTGGAGCCATGGCGCAGGCCTTGCTCCATGAGGTAACGCTTCATGTCGTCTGAAGTCGTCACTTGGACTGCCTCCCTTGTGAATCTCTCGATGTAATTCCTAAGAGGTTCGTCTTGGGCTTGGATGATCGCGCCCATAGCGGCCTCTGTCTTTGTATGGCGAAGAGATGTCGTGAAATGTTGCGAGAAGAGATCCTTCAGGACCCTCCATGATGTGAAGTATTCGGGCTCCAGGCTTTTGTACCAGGCCATGGCTCCCTTCCTCAACGTCATCGAGAAGAGCTTGCACTTGATTGCTCCTCAGACGTTCCGATAGTCGAGCATGGCCTAATATCTTCCAGATGGTCATCTGGGTCCCATGTGCCGTCGTAGGTGGAAAGCGCAGGCGACTTCTCCATCCCGTAGGGGATGGGGGTCTCCATGATTTCCCGCGATAGGGGAGTCATGTGGTTGTCCTCGTCACTGCAGATAGGGGAGCGCGAGGGCGAAGAATTTTGGCGAGGGGCTTGATTACGACCCCTCGTCCTCTTGCTCGGGGCCTCAGGTCTATTTCTTCTTGGGGATGGGGAGCGCCTCTCCTTCCGGGGGGTGAACGGTCGCGCTTCTTGGTGGCCACGAGTTGGGGCCTCTCAAATTATGGACGGCACCCCGTTGATGGGGAGAGGGACTCTAGGAGTCCTCGCGTTGGTTTCTCCGCGAGGGAGAGCGAGATGAGGTATCCTGTTCCAGTATCCCAATACGCTCGTTCTGCTGGAACAACATCAGATTAGTCTGGTTGATGGCTGCGAAAAGGGCAGTCATCGTCAGGTTCGCCCTTGCTGGCGTGAGGACGGACTAAAAAGCAGCGGGGCTCCTTGCTCGAGGTACGACGTGGTGTGCCGCGTCCTCGGACGAAGGTGAGGCAGTCTGACCGTCCCTCACGTCACCTTCACGGGCGTGGGAGGACCCTGCTTGGTCATCACCGTTAGTGAGTGGGCGAAAGCGGAATTATGGACAACATCGTCGTGGCGTGGGCTGGTCATGATCTCATAAATTGAAGTTGAAAGCTTTGGTTCTTTTGCTAGGAGAAATGGGGAAGCTTTAGTTTCCCACAGACGGCGCCATTGATCGTACCTGATCAGAAGAGATTGTTGACTGGCCACGCGTCATCGACTGAAAGCTGCTCAACGGAGGTAGGGAGAAGGAGGAGAGGTGTACCTGCAAGACACTCCGATGGTTAAACGAGTAAAGGACCAGAGTGGGAGCAAATACAGAAGTTAGGTGTAGAGAATGGAATACCTGACCCTCTAGAGAAAGAGGGTATTTATAGTGAGACCCCAACGCAGAGCCAATAATCACTTGTGTTGGGCTGGATTTCCAGGCCCAACCCAAGTGACTATTAGGGCTTACGTGGCATAGTGAAGACCAATACATAATCTTCTCCCTCGTTAAATTATCCTGTGATCTCCGGAAGGTGGACTGACCAACTTTTTCGGAGGTGGATAGTTGTCTGATGACGTGTCCCCGCAGGGGAGAGCACGTGTAGAAGACGTCTTGTTCTGCCCGACGGGAAAGACGTCTGTCCGACGTATCTAGATTCGTGCCCGACATTGGGGGATTTGGGCCTTGTAGGACCTTCCCCACACATAGTTGGGTTGTGCCTACCCGACGGATGGACAGGTCTGGGCCCACTCCATAACACACACATAGACACACACACACACACACACATATATATATGTATATGTATATATGGCAAAGCAGTTCATTAATTTCAAATAACAACACAAATACTAAATAAAAAACAAAAACAAAAACAAAAAAGTAAATCACATAATTTGTAAGTTGCCTCCCTGCATCGCTTTTTTACGCTCATTAGCTTGATTGCTTAAACCTCTCTTAGGATGGCATATATGACACAAATAACACATCATCATTTCTCTCTCCTTTGTTTGGTGGAAACCCCACAAACATGAGGTATTTATGATGTTGCTTTCATATCCTCTTCAGTTTGATATTAGCGAATAAGGCATAAATGACATCTAATATTTTATCAATTTCTTTTCTTTCATTGCCTTGTTGTTAAAATAGTTTTTAGAGATATTCTTTTGTTTAAGATTTTTTTATGGATGTCTACATCTATACCAATTGTTGAATTTGAAGTTTCATCCAAAACAATATCATCATCACTTTGCATTCTTTTTTTTCCATATTTATTTTTACCTCAAATTATTCTATTCTTGATTAAGTTTTTTTATCCGATAGCATGTCTTTTTCTTCTTGTTGTTCTTGTTCAGCTTCTCTTTCATTGACTACTTCCTATTCATCTTTGACTTCTCTCTCAACTTAATTTTTCTTTTTACATTCATTTACTTTTTTCTCACTTCTAAGATTTACAACATTGGATACTATTTTGTTTCTCAACTCAACAGTTTCACAACTCTCATTCCTATGATTATCCAACATATTCTCATTAAAATCTCCATTTGATTGAGATGTCAATTGTTTAGATAACTTCTCAATTTATGTTTCAAGATTATATTATGGATAATTCATGGTTCTTACTCATTGTTTCAAAATTATTTTGAGTTATCTTTATATATTGGTTCATAGTCTATTCTAAATGAGATGACTTCCTTAGTGGTGGATTATGAGGAGCTTCTTAATTAAAATTTAACAATGATTACCCCTCAATTTAAAATTTAGATGATCTTTCCACCACACATTTTAAGCGTTGGAGTAGGAATTTCGCTTTTGAACATTTTCAACATAACGAGCCTCTTTAGCGTATTCCTCTGGCCATTGAAGTGACATTCATCATAGAAATCGCATCGTAATACCTGGATTTGATTAGCATTTGCTTGATGTAGATTATAGACAACTAACTGATTTGACACAACTTTGATTTGTGCTAACATAGCAAGTTAAAAATCAAGCTCCAACATACAATTCTTTCTTGGAGTTCTTTCACTTTGTGTGCGGTCATCTAAATCAAAAAAACAATTCGCTAGATCCTTTACCTCGTATATACAATAAAAAAAACCTAAATAAAACTGAACAAATTAATAATAACTAAAGAAGAACAATTCCGAAAAAGTAAAAAAAAATCAAATGATAAAAAAAAATCTAAGTGCAATTTAATTTCTTCGTAGAAATTAATCAATAATCTCTCGTAATAGTGCCAAAAACTTGATACATTATGTAGTAAGTGTACTAAATATTCGTCAAGTAATAATATTTATAATAAGTTCGTCTTCACAAGAATTGCTTAATTTCAACACAACAATATTGTTGTACTAAAATTACTAAATTGGAGGGTTTTCATGAATATTTGGTTTGCAACAAAAAATAAAAATAAAAATATGAAATTGACATAAGATTAAAACCAACCGACCTTTCTCAAATCTCTTAATTATCGCTATTTGGTAATTGCTTCTATTCCTTAAAATTGTTCCTCTAGTATTACATGAATTAAAAAAAAAATAGTTATGTCCAATTCCTTAGTGTATAACCTTATCTTTTAATATCAAGCCTTTAATTCCTTAGGCTAATTTGAAATCAAACCAGATTTTATCACACGTTAATTTCTTTATCACAATAAATGTCTGCAAGAATAAATCTGGAGTTTTTCTCTATAGATATAAACGTCTGAATTGATTTGAATTTGAGAGAAAGTAGTAGTTGGATTTACTTTTGGGTGTTTGGTTGTCATAGTTTATGGTATTGTCGTAACATGAATATGAATTACCATAAACCTTTGTTTTTGGGGATCTATATTCAAAGAAGGGTGGACAAATATGAGGATGTTATGAAGAACAATGTTCTGGTTGCTCGAGGTGATAAAATAATGCTTATGGTTGGATAGAAACCTCTAGAAGAAAATTGGATAAAGCTTAATAGAGATGAAACTTGTATGGTTGGAAGAAAGTTAGGTTATGGAGGTATCATACATGATATACATGGTGTTTGTAAGGGTGATATTTCAAAATACATTGAGGAATGTAGTGCCACTAGAGCATAATTATAGAAAATATATGAAGGTTATCCCTCACGAAGAAGTTATGATTTTAAAAAGTAGAGTTGAATATTGACTCTTTGATCAGTGTCCGAATGCTTGAAACGAGCAGAACAATAGTTATGGACAAAGTTTCGATTGTCAATCAGATTTTACTTCTCATGGAGATGCACGATAAAATGAAGGTAACTCATTTCTACAAGAAAACGAACTATTGTACAAACGAGTTAGCGAAAGTTAGTGCTTAGTGTGGAGTAACTCTAGAATCTGGAGATCAAATTCCATACTTCATTGGACAATTTTTTTTCAAATACTATAAAATTCTTTATCCTAAAATTAGAATCTGGAGATCAAATTCCAGACTTCATTAGACAATTTTTTTTCATATAATACTATAAAATTCCTTATCCTAAAATTGATTTCGTTATAATCGTTTTTTTTTTTAACCTTAGCCCTTTTTAATACATAAAAAAACAGCATTAATAAACTTTACTTTTAAGTAAATTATATGGATATTCATATTAAGATTATTGTTATTCTTTGAATAAAAAAGTGCCAAATTCAGATATCTAATCTCACAATTATTTTTCTTTAGTATTGTTTTCTTTTTCAAGTAGAAGATCAAACAATTATTCTTGTTTATGTTTTTTGGTTTCTCAGACCAAAAGACTAAATATATATAAACAAAGCCAGTATTAATAGTGACTCCTCGCGTGGGTAATCTCGTAAACGTTTCGTCGCACCACAGTAACAAAAAAAAAAAACGTTTTTGAAAGAAAAAAAAAGCGGGATTAGGGTTTTGGAGCGTAGTTTAATTCATTCCGCCTCTTAATTTTTCTTCTTCACTCTTTCACTCTGTTTTTTTCTTCTCAAAATGGCGAACCCAAAGGTCTATTTTGACATTAGCATCGGAGGTGAGTTAGAGGGTAGAATCGTCATTGAACTCTTCAACGACGTCGTTCCCAAAACCGCCGAAAATTTCCGAGCACTATGCACCGGCGAAAAAGGAATCGGTCCCAACACCGGTGTCCCTCTCCATTTCAAGGGTTCATGTTTTCATCGCGTCGTCAAAGGCTTTATGATTCAAGGCGGCGACATTTCCGCTGGTGACGGAACCGGTGGTGAATCCATTTACGGTACGTATTTCGATGATGAGAACTTTGACCTAAAACACGAGAGGAAAGGGATTTTATCTATGGCAAATACAGGTCCCAACACTAATGGTTCTCAGTTCTTTATTACCACTACTCGTACTCCTCATTTGGATGGAAAACATGTGGTTTTTGGGAAGGTTGTTAAAGGAATTGGCGTGGTTCGTTCTGTGGAGCTTGGTGTTACAGGAGAGAATGATCGTCCCGAGCAAGATGTTGTTATTGTTGATTGTGGTGAGATTGCGGAAGGAGAGGATGAGGGGGTTATTAACTTTTTTAAAGATGGTGATACTTTTGCTGATTGGCCAGTTGATCTTGAGACGAAACCGGAGGAGCTTGAGTGGTGGATGAGTGCTGTTGATTCTATCAAAAGTTTTGGGAATGAACATTATAAGGTGAATATCAATGACTTTTGTTCTTTCTATTGATAGTTTTCAGTAATTTTTATTTTATTAGTATTGATAAAACTGAACCCATTCAATACAAACCTCTAGTGTGTAGATGTCTTGGACATGGATTCCCATGCAGAATCCCTAGTGGGTATCTTTTCTTTGATCGTTTGATTTATGCTTGGAATTTTGATTTTTTTTAAGGTTTGTATATGAATGATGTATTTGCTTATCAATTCTACGTTACTTATTTTTACTCAAAAATGTCATTTTTACTCAAAAATGTCACTTTTATACGTGTCTTAGATTCATAACAAGATTCAATTCACAAACAGAAAATAGGTTATCTGATTCACGAGTTGATCCTTGAAGCTTAATGTTTTCCTTGAATTTAGTGGTTAGTCTTGTTGGTCATTCTTCTGATCTGATGATTAACTATGTGGGTATGCCAATGCACTGTGTTCTGTGAAACAGAAACAAGATTATAAGATGGCTATCAAAAAGTATCGCAAAGCTTTGCGCTATTTGGACATGTGTTGGGAGAAGGATGGTGTTGACCAAGGTTGGTTCTCGTTTGTTTGTTGCTCTTAATCTGTGCTGTTCAGTTTTTGGTTGTTACTGTGGTTACATACTGCTTTGCTTCTATAGTATCTCAACTCTTGGTTTGTTTTCCTGACTTTGCAGAGAAGAGCACTGCTTTAAGAAAGACAAAATCTCAAATCTTTACCAACAGTTCAGTAAGTATCATGTTGTCATCATTTTATGTGACTAGGATTAGAGCATACTTGTCCTTTAAACTATTATGAATTGAGAGTTGAGACCAAGCATCATTGTTTGTTGTCACAAATTAACTTTGCTGCAACCTTGGCTTGTTTAGTTAGAGGCCTAAGAAAGTAAGAATGCTTTTATGTTTAAAACTCTTAACAAAATTTTACTTTTACATAATCACTAACCAGCTGATTTTCAATAATTAATTTCTACATTGAGCATCAAGCTATTAGCATTTAGAATGCTTAGCTGCCTGAAAAACTCCGTTTTTGAAATTTGAACAATGAATGCTAGTTTTTTTAAGTCATAATTTTGCTCAGATTGTACATGTGATTGGCCCTTGTTTTTGTGAGTTTAGTTGGCATTCCTGCAATCTTGTTCTTTAACTGTTTTCTTCAGTGGTCAAACACCTTATGAGTGATTATTTTTTCGGTGACACGTGTCTGCTCTGCTCTACCCAATACTTGCTCTTTTAGGCCCAAACTAAAAAGGTGGGAGGAGGTGATATTGTATATGATCATGATACAGAATATTAGTCACTGCTCTCCTCTGACTGGGTCTGATTGATTCAACATAGAAGCTTATTTTATTTTTTCTTACCTGTTATAATTTGTCACATTCTGTGGTGATTTTAGTTTCTTCAACCAGTTCTCTTAAGCTAAATTTGATTTTGATTTTCAGGCCTGTAAATTAAAATTAGGTGACCTTAATGGAGCTTTACTGGATTCAGACTTTGCAATGCATGATGGAGACAATGCGAAGGCTCTGTTTCGCAAAGGCCAGGTTGGCATCTTTCAATGAAGAGAGTAGTATAACGATGAATGTGATTGATCATGGCTAGTAAAGCATGTCATTTATCTGCCTTCCCTTTTATTCTGTCACTGTACTTTGAATTTGATGCAGTGCTTCCCCCTTATAATTCTGTTCTGTTTTATGATTGTTTATTTTAGTCATATCCTATGTTAGTAGATATCGTACCCATGTTTGCTTCCTCATACTGTATGCTTATGTAAATTGTGTAATACCTTTATGCTTGTTTCGGAATTTGGAGGGAAAGGAACTGGAAGGGGCTAGGGTGGACAGGGTATGGAAAAGAAGTGTAAAACCTCACTATCCTTATTAGCATGTTACAAATTGACAAATGTTTACGGGGAAGGAAATTTATAGTTCGTTTAATTTTGAATGTTAATATTATTTTACACCTTTTCCTTCTAAAGTATGAAATTGTAATTTGCTACATGAAATAGGGTAAACTAGTAAAATGCTTTATTTTTCCTCCTAAACCATCAAAATTATGGGAACTTTGAAAGTGCATAAGAGAAGTATTTTAAAGTATTTTTTAAAAATTTATTCCCCCTTTTTTTACGGAACTCCTAGACTAGACAAAAGATAACAAAGCTACATTGGGGATATATCATTTCTGCACTCTACAAGCTGAAACGTATCATGTATTATATATAGTAATAGTAATTTGTTGTGTTTTGGTCTGCTTAATTTCAGGTGTATATGATACTCAATGACCTAGATGCCGCTCTTGAAAGCTTCAAGAAAGCATTAGAGTTGGAGCCAAATGATGGTTGGTGACTATTTAGATTTCACGTATTTTTATTTCATTCCTTGCCTGTTACATCACACGTGCTTTTAAAAAATTTCCTTTCTTAAAGTCAATTACTTTCTTATAACTCCGGGGTCTTGAGGGAGGCTGTTGTTGAATAGTGAATTACCTGTGTTCTTTATGAAACTATGAGGATATTTTTCATATATAGAAACATATGTTTGACTTACCAGGTTATAGTATATTTATGGTAAGACATTGCTGAAACAAAATAGTGTTGTGTTTATTCTGGCTAAGAAAGGGTCTTCTCCCTTACGTTATTTTGTCTTTAATTGCCATTCCCTTTTTTTTATCACATGCTTTCTACGATCACTTCAACATGAAATCTCTAAGTATGATATTAATACCTCAGTGTAAATAGCATTAGTTGCTTTTAAAACAGTTTTTCTTTGCATATGAAACAAGCGTGAATATATATTTGTTTTACTGGATTTTCAAAGTTAACCTGATATTTCTGGTAAATTGACACATTCCTTGCTCTGTTCTTCAGGAGGGATAAAAAGAGAGTATGCAATTGTCAGGAAGAAGGTCACTAATTCACTTTTTTTTTTAATTCCTTTAACATTTCAAATGCTGTTTAGTTTATTGAAATGAAGTAGGTTTATTCTGTTTATTGCTTTTGGTTACAGGTTGCGGATAGGCGTGATCAAGAGAAAAAAGCTTATTCTAAGATGTTCAATTAGCGGTTATGATGTTTGTGGCTCTATGGTCTGAAAATATCAGATTTTTGTGGGAAGCATGTCTGATTACATACATAGTCAACAATTTCTGGTTTTCTTTTAGTGGTAGTCTAAAAATATCAGATATAGTGTATGTTTTTGAATTTATGCCTTCTAGACTGAATTTGTGATAGATATTCTTATCACCATTTTGTCAAACTTTTTGAGCATCAACCAGTAATTTTCTAATAGAGATAGACAGATTGAGACACGAAAGAATGAGTAATGTCAACTTGTCTGTCCTGATGATATCTGTGTATCCTTCAATGGTATTTGGTCCAGTACTCACGTTTTTATTTACCGAAAGTTAATTAATATTATGCTTGTACAAATTAGTAAAACTAAAGCCAACCTCTATTGATATGGATTTAACTGCTATTAATATTATTAAAATTAAACAAGTCATATTTTCTCTGTAACATGATTATTGTGTCGTAGATTTATGTAATATGTGAAGTCACTCACCCATTTTCCTTATCATCTTTTGAAGACATTTTCTCATGTTGTGCATAATGGATGACTTCTTTGTTGTTTTTATATTACTCGGTGATCTTCTGGAGTGTTGTGATTCCCCCCCTTCAGACTTAACTAATGATTTAGCATGGGATTTGGGTAAAGCACTGTTTATGTTAGTTGTTATTTCCCCTTGAACAATTGCATCTTTGATGTTTGTATCCTTTTCCTTGTGCAATTGGCCTGTTAAATTGCTTCTCTTTGTACTTAATGTTCTACTGGAATAAAAGTGGTTCAATTTGGATAATGCTATTTCATGGGTAGCCTCTGCTGCAAGCTTTTGTTCTGCAGAAATAGAAACACGCCAGTTTGCCTGTGATGTTCTTTCTTCAGCTCTTCTTGTTAGGTCATAGTAGTCTTTATGATTAAGCTGGACAACAGACGTGTGATTTTCTGAATGACTGATCTGTCTAAAAGCTTCTGCTTTAGATACTTCCACAGCATCTGACTCAAGTAGCACAGCTTGAAGCGTGAGCTGCAAGGTTTGAACTGTCCGCCTCCTTAGATGCAGGGTTTGCTTCAGTTTTGCCCTTGTTTGCTTTTCTTTCTTTATGTTGAGCTTGAGCCTTTCCATTTCATTGCGTGCTTGATCCAACGCATGATCGATTTCATAGATCATCTTTTCTGTCTTGAGGTGGTCATCCCTTTTGGATTTGATGCTCATTTGGGTAATCTCTAGTTGGGATTCCAACTCCAAGATGTCAGTTTTTGGTGTTTTTGAATTTTGTTGAGCATTAGCTAGACTGACTTTTTGCTTTTCGAGTTCATCTATGAGAGGCTCGGAGTCAAGCCAGGACTGCACAGCCTTCTCTTTAGCTCTATGGAGCTCTTTCTTTGCCTCATCACGTTCTGCTTTTGCAACTTCCAGTATAGTTCTCTTCTTCTCTTGAACCTCTGCTTTGTTGATGATCCTCTCAAAACTTTCTTGTGTTGATGGCATTTTGTTCAAAGCTCATGCATTGTGAGCATTTAAGTTGGTACCTCTCTTGTGTATTGTTTCTTCTGTAATGCTGGTGTGTGTAGTTGAATATAAAGGTGGTGACAAATAGCTGTTGTAATATTTGAGATAATGGTGGTCTAAATAAAATATTTGAGATTCCTAAGATGCAATAGGTTCCACCGCTTTCCTTTGTCTTTTATATATGTAAATACTTGGTCATGGCATGTGCTATGCGACTCAGACTCGTGTGCGAGTTTGCTTATGTTAACTTTGTTTTTGTTGGTCGAATTGTTTCCATACTGCACGAGCCATCTTACATTTCTTAATAACTCATCAGAATTGATACAAGGATGATCGTGACTATAACTGCGAGTTTGGAAGAAAGAGAGGAAAGAGAAGTATAAAAAATGAGTCCTCAAGTTTTACTAGGAGGTTGATTTTTCTAATACGAAATTTCTTTAAAACGAAGAACTAAAAAAGTATTGAATAAAGATTTAAATAAAATTTTAAACTTAATTTATATTCGTATAATGTTTTTCATATTAAAAGTATATTCATGATAAAAATATATTTATCATTCTCAACTAAATTCTTTTATTTTATTAAAAACAAGAACGAGTTTCTTTACTTTTTCATCTACTCTCCAAAGCCATTCCTTGCAATTTCCTTCAGACGTACAAAGAAGTGGGGAAAGAGGGAAAAAAATAATGATTTTATTTATTTATTTTAAAAAACGATGGAAAAATGGTTCTGATTAAATTATGATGTGGGATCAAACTACACCAATAAATTATACCATTAGTTACGGTGTTTTTTAATCCTTGATTTTATTTTTATCTATCCAGTTTTGGTAATAAATAGAAATATAATTCATTTTAATATTTCTTAAAAACACATCACGATTCTTAAATATTTCTAAAACTCATGAATCTTAATAAAAAAAAAAGTTTTTTCTTAGGTTTAAATGAATTTCATTTTTATTTTCTTTAAATTAAATTCTATTCTATCACTTAAAGTAAATAATTAATTGTGATTCTAAATATTTTTTTAAAAAAATCACAATTCTTAACAAAAAATTGTATCTTTTAATTTTTAAACATATTTCACTTTTCCTGATTTTATTTAAATTAAATTATAATATATTCACTTAAAATAAATAAGAAACTGATATATTTTAAATATCACTCAAAATGTGTATAAAAAATAAGAAAATTAATCAATAAATAATGAGTGAATAATAATTTAGTTTTGAATAAAACCAAGTACAAATAATATGAAAATAATTTCTTCTTATTTTTAAATAATTATTTTTTTAAATTTTCTTTAAATTGAATTCTATTCTATTCAATTAAAGTAAATAGTTAATCGTGATTCTAAATATTTCTTAATCAAACATCATGATTCTTAATAAATTAGTTTCTTTTTATTTTTGAACAAATTTCACTTTCTTTATTTTCTTTAAATTAAATTATTTTATATTAAGTTAAAATAAATAATGATAGTAGTACGTTTTAAACTATAGTACAAAATAATATTCAAAATGTGTATTAAAATAATAAAATTAAATATGAAATAAGGAGTACATAACAATTTAGTTCTTAATTAAAAAAAACTTTAATAAAAAATTTCACTTTATATATAGATACTTTTTGATTTACAACATAGTTCATTATTTAATTTTTTTCTTCCTTTATTAAATAATTTTTTATATGATTTTATAATCTATTTAAAAATTATATAGTGTACTTAAATTGAAAAAATATTATTTAATTAAGTAAAACAAAGAATAGAAAAGTTTGTTTAAAATTGAGAGGAAACAATTTTTTTATTAAAAATAATACTTGTTATCAAGAAATATTAAAAATCATGATTTTATAAAATATTAAAAAGAATCACATTTTTATTTATTACCGAAGCTATATTTAGTAGGAATAATGTGAGTCACTAAGAGATATTTTAACAACCAATAGATTAAATAAAATCAAAGATTAAATAAGAGTGTAGTTATTAATGTAATTTATTGGTGTAATTTGATCCTCTTCTTAAAATATTATAATAAGATGAAATAAGTTTGAATAATTTATTTAAACTCTAAATTTTCGTCCAATATATCTTCTTTTAACTTCAAATTAAAAAGATTTGGTATTATAAAATACTTTTTTTCTCCTCTAAAATGCTTAACTTCTTCCACTTCATTTTTTCTGTTCTGGCCTGGGCCTCGGCCAGACCACGCGGACCCAGCCCAACAATGATCCACTAGGTTCAGCTCAGTCTGGGCATCGCGTCGAGCACGAGATTCCCGACAAGTAAGAAAGGTCTCCCTGCGAGGAAGGCTTGTCCCCACTACGTCGGGCAGGAGACTCATCCGCTCGACCAGGCACCGCCCTCCGCAGGCACGACCTGCCCCCCGCGGGCACCACCCGCTCCCTTGTCGGGCAGCACAACGTGTCCTTCACACGTTCTCCACGTGCTCCCCTCCGCGGGGACACGTCATCCCCAAACTGCCCACTTCCGAGAGAGCAGGTCAAACCCACTTTCCGGAGACCGCAGGACAGTTGGACTAGGGCGAAGACCACGTCCTGGTCTTCACTACGCCACGTAAGCCCTAGCACTCACCTGCGTTGGGCCTGGCCATCCAGCCCAACACAAATGACCGTTGGCCCAGCGCCGGGGTCTCTCTATAAATACCCTCTTCTTCAAGAGGGTCAGGTAATTCACTTCTTACCCCATTTCTGTACTTTGCTCTCACTCTGTCCAACTCCTTACTTTGGCATCAGAGTGTCTTGCAGGTACACCCCCCTTCTCCTCCTCATCACCGGTGAACAGGTAGCAGTCCAACAGCGTGGCCAGCCCGTGATCCCCTTCTGATCAGGTCAGATCAGTGGCGCCGTCCGTGGGAACAGAAACTTCCCTGTTACTCCGAGCAGAAAACCAAAGTTTCACCAACACTCCACGATCATGGCAAGCCCACGCCGCGACGACACCGTGCAAGACTTCATGATCAACGCCCCGACGAACGGCGGCAAGCCAACGGAGACTTCCCGACCGGTAGAGACCGACGAAAGAGACGACCAGACTGCATCTCCGTCGTCCGCAGAGCCGGCACACCAGGCTGACCACCGGTCCCAAAGTCCAGCGACGTTCCAACCCGTTCCCGTCCCGACTGGAGCGGACCCAACGGTGGCCGCACTCTTTGCGTCCATCAACCAGACGAACCAACTATTGTTTCAGCAGAATGCACGAATTGGAGCGCTGGAGCGGGAGGTCCCCCCAAGGTCCCCTCTGCGGGAAGACCAGAATGGGGACTCGAGGAGTCCCTCGCCTCAACCCAGAAATCGACGACCTCGGCTGGAGAGGCCCCGAACAGAAGAAGTGCGGGAGCGGACAAGATCCCCGATGAGACAAGTTCGCGGGAGGCGGCAGAATGGGGCAGCAACCCCGACCAGGCCTCCGCGCGTCGAGCCCCCGGTCAGGAGGCCGAGGACCCGAAACCAGGTGCCTATACCAAATG